TTTTCTGCTTTGGGGGCTTTTTTCCAGTCTGGATGAGGCAGAGAAGAGTGTGGGAGAGAAGGAGAGGGGGTTGGGGGCAGAAGTTTAACAAAGGATCACTTTAAAAGAAACTACTGAGTAATCACTCTGTCCCTGGCCAAAAATAACATCAGCTCAATGTCGGCAATTAGAATCAGGTCAGCCCGCCTCATGGCAGCCAGCTCTCCTCACAGACCCCTGCGTGGAGGTGGAGGGCTGCTGATGTCATCAGCAGTCACTGCTGCCCAAGGAAGCCCCCAGCTCACTGAAAGGAAGTTATTTTTTTAAAGATTTATTTATTTATTTATGCATACAGAACTGGGGTACAGGCCAGAGGTGCAGGAGTGGCGAGAGGATTCACCAGAGACAGAGTGGGGAGCAGAACAGGCCCAATGACTAAGTACATTGCTGAGGGGAGCAGCGGGCGGGTCAGGAGAGGTCTGCTCCCAGGCCATGTGGGTCAGCTCCAGGGCGGGCGGGGTTCGAACTCATGCTGCAGTGGCTTTAGCTTCTTAGTACTTGCTTTAACCCTCTGCGCCACCAGGGAGGGCCGAAAGGAAAATTTTTAACCTTCTCATTCAGGAGGAGAAGCCAGGAGGAGAAGGGAGGTGCACATATGGGGGAGCTAGAGAGGACACAAAGGGGCAGCCTAGCAGATGCATTTCACCACCCTGGACTGGCACAATTCTAGTGGCTCCAGCCACCCAGGAACTCATATTAAATGAATTAATAGACATACAGCAGCTGGAACAGTGTTTGGAGGAGGGTTAGGTGCTCACTGAGTGTTGCGATTATTATTTAAACAAGCAGAGGGGTGGAAGGAGTTGTCCCATTATCTCTTGTCTACCTTAGAGCTTGAATCCTGGGAGCAGCGATTGCTAAGAAGAATGGACCTCAGAAGAAGAACAGGAAAGAAGGTTTTCACATTTGGAAAACTTGTTCATAAGGAGACTGTAGGAGATGGAGTGAAAAAGACAGAAATATAGTTCCTATAAAAATGTGACTTCCTGACGTTTTAGAGGCAACACTAAGTTTAACAAGTCCAGTGTCCCTTCCAAAGGACAAAAACCAAGAGGAGATGTTGCTGATCTCTTTCCATCTAGCTCATTGGTTTACAAGTGTGGTTCCCCGAAAAGCTACATTAGGCCCACCTGGAAATTTGTCGGAAATGAAAATACTTCAGCTCCCTCCCAAACCTGCTGAATCAGAAATGGTGTAGGGGAAGTAAGGGGTGTTTTACAGGCCCTCCAAGAAGGTCTGCTGCTTAAAAGCAAGGGTCTGCAAACTCAGGTTTGCACGCCAAATCTGTTATAGGGCAGTGAGAGGGACACCCCTGAGCCCCCAAACCTGCCCGCTCCAAATAGGTTCTGAAAGGTTCGGCACAGTAGGGAGGATGCAGAGAGATAGCAAGGCCAGTGAAAGCAACAGTAGGTTTATTTCTGCGCTCCTGGGCGAGGTTCACTGACCCCAGAGAGTCGAGGTCAGAGAAGTCTCACGGGCGGGAAGGGTAAGAGGGTTTTTAATAGGCCTAGGTAGGGGTACAAACGGCCAGGTGGAAAATTTTGACAAGGAACTGGAACTTATTTTTCTGCCCGGGCTTGTGTTAACCAGTGGTGACAAACGAGCCAGGAGGTTATCGCTCCCAAATATCTGCTTCTTCTGGGAGCAACAACTGCTTCCATGCCCATGATTGGCTGGTGCCTGACCCTTACAAGGTTCTTCCTATAACAAATCCAGTCTGTTGCCAGTGTTTGTAAATAGCTCAATGGGAAACTGCCACAATCGCTCATTTACACATTGTCTAAGGCTGAAGACAGGGCTGGGCAGCTACCACAAATACCCTGTGGCCTCTAACCCTAAAATGTTTACATCTGGTCACTTGCAGAAAGTTTGCTGACCCATGCTTTGACTTAGAATCATGTTTTTTATTTAGAAGAGCTAGAGCTTCATTAGAGAACCATGTATTTTAAACCACTAATTTGACCCATCAGCATGTAACAGCTCCTAGTTCTAATTTTGTCTCATTTTATTATCAAGCTTTCTATCAAATGAACTGGATACTCCTATTTCCTTGTGTTTATCTGTGTCCCTGGGAATGTTCTGTCGATGGCTCTGGGTGACTTTTCTCTCCCATGCTCACGTTCTAGGTCCAGTCTTTCATAGGGGCGAATTTAGTTGACAATTGCTAGATTTATGAATGCAATGCTAGACAGATGAAGATCAAAGCTTACTCCCAGATGAATGATTAGAAATGCCCATTGCCAAACTTTTAACTTCTTAAAATTAATACCTTCGATAAGATAGCTAACTACAGAAAAGGAAGGGAAGGTCCTCGGTGTGTGGAGCTAGAAATGCTGCATCAGCTCCCCCAAAACACTTTGAGGTGATTACTGGAAAGGCCATGCACATAACTATCACAGTATATTACAAAATGTGATATAATTTAAATGTGACATGATGTGTTAGAACATAAAGCGTCAAAGGCTCATTTAGCGTCCTTTTCCTCTTATCCTGTTGTAGATGAATGGTAGGTAAATTAGATTTCACTTCTATCTACTGCTCTCAAACAGACTATTAGTCAAACTGTTAGTTAAATCAAGGGCTACCTACATTCGGGGGGGGGGGGGAGGGGGATCAATCCAAAGCATAAGGAATTCACCAGAGAAACCACCGTCACCTAAAAGGTTAACCCAAGGACAGAAATATACAACACACTTAGGGTGCAAACCATGTTTCCCTCAATAACTTAGTGGCTATTATACTGGTCTGGTCCAGCACAGTTACAAGTTCAGCTAACAAACTTAATAGGGGTTTATTCCTTCTATGGAGTGCTTCTTAATATCATTTGAAATAAAATGCTTTAAATTTCTAAGTATTCTGCATATTAGAACACTGAATATCTTTGTTATTTTATCAGTTACAAACTCTTCAAGCTAGTAAAGGTGAGTTACTTTGGCTCTCCACCCTAGTCTCAGACTTCACTCTTATTCATTTTTACCTAATACAACTGTGGATTCAAAGAACAAGAGGAAGAAAATAAAATGATGCTATAAACATATATAAATTTATGATAAATGATTTTCTGTTCCTTCTCCAGGAGACACACGGTAACTCCCTTCTTGGGAGTTCTGACTCCTCCATGAGACAGATATTCTCACAGATTCTAAAAAACATGTTTTCCAGGTACTTCTTAGTTTAGTAAAATTAAACCAGTATAGTCCTCAGTGGAAAAAAAAAATATCTATACAAGAAGAGCAGTACTCTGAGTTTTCAAAGGAATGTGGGATGCTGGAAGCTAATCAAAAGAGTAATAAGGACTTATAAATGAAGCAGTTGCTGAAAGTGAAAATCAGCAAAACTATCTCTCCTTCCCTCAAAACTTCAAAGTCCTGCAATCACTGACTATTTTTTTTAATCATCCACCATTTCAAGATATGAAAGCTTTAAAAGGGACCAACCGTGTTGATGCAGGCATTGAATATACTCACAAAAGGGAAATAAAGCTATATATGATAGCTCCAAAATCTAACATTTAATTAACTTGGCACTTTTCAAGAAGTCTGAACAGAATTTTAAAATTTATAGCTTTAAGAAATTACAGTTTAAAAAAATCCCCTAAGCCACATATTTATATTTGAAACTGAGAAAATGCAAATTACAGAGAAATTCCAAAGACTTTTGAAATGAACAAATTTCTAGGTGACCGAGAACAGTGTGATCAAACTGAGATACTATATATAGTCTATGCTTTCCAGAACATAAAGTTGGGTTTTTTTTTTTTTAGTAAAAATTATCTAAAGAACCATAAATGTCTGCAGTTATAATTTTCTCACTGATAATACGTGAATTTACAGAGTATACTAGCACAGATAAAGATGATCAAGTGATAAATGGCACTGAAATAATGAAATAGATCTGGGTGGTAACTGAAAAGATAAATAAAGCTAGAGAGCACAATAATTATTTTATTTAGAGAAAAAAGACAACTTTGGGAAATGCTATTCTTTGGTTATTAATTTTGCACCAAACAATACATTCTATGTAATGTATTTTTATAACAAAAAGCAAAAGACAAAGATCAAATGTCTTTGCTTAAGCAAATATCAGGGAAGCTCATGGAATCAGTACCAATTTAGCCCAACAGGACATGCACAACATCCTAACTCATCCTTGTGATGATCCTGAGTCATCAAGAACAGTTAACGCTTCATGGCCTGACTTTTTGATGAAGTCCATCCTTTCTCTGTAATTGGGACCATGATGATATATGCTAATGCAATAAAATTATACAGTCCCCTTGTACATATGCTCAGGAGTTTGTCATTTTTATAGACAACAAGTAGGTAATTCTATTTCATTAGGGCATAAATTCTGAAACAGCAAGGATTTTTGTGTGTGTGGCTGTTAAAGTTCCACTATTTACAACAGTGCCTAGCACATGACAGGCACTCAATAAACATTTGTTGAATGAGTAACTGTCAAACCAAAAGACCAACAACTTAACCATTGACCATTTCCTAGAAAAACTTAAAAGTTATTTATTCCTTGAAATTCTTGATAGGTCCTGAAGGTTTAATATATGCTATGCATAACAAATCTGTGAAGGTAAGGAAGTAGTATATTTGGGGAAAAAAAGATTCCTTAAAACGTTTGCTTCTAATTATATGGGAATTAGACCCTCTGGAAAGTTCCTGAGCTAAAGTTATCCAACAGAAAAGGTGAATACTTCAATAGAGATTTCTGGGGATAAGCACTTAAATGGAAGAAAGAAAGCCAAAATTCATTCAGCCTCACGTTCCAGCAAAGCCAATGCCAAAGGCTTCAGAACATTCTTTTTCTAAGAGTAGACTTCTCAGGAACCATCCAGGCCATGAGGTGTTTACTTTAGGAAATTAGTACTATATTTCCCACTGATTTAATCAATCCCCCTCCCTGCAATCAATAGAAGAATTAGCAGATGGAAAAGCCTTCTTTTGAATTACCTGGTGCCGGGCTCGACTCTGATCCAGAAGTTGTCTGGACTGAAGTTTTTGTTGTTCAAGTTGCTGCAGGGCAAAATGGAGTTGGTAACTGCCTGCAGTGGGGTGATATTTATGCTGGGGGACCACCCCTGTAGCCTTGCTATACGCGTTGTTCTCTACTTCACCCTCCCAGGCAAAGCCACCTGTTTGGAGGCTCCTGAAAAGAAAAGAAAGTAGCTTTCTTAGAGTAGCTGTATGAACAATTGCAAGGGAAGGAGAGAAATATCCCCAGGTATTTTTCCTTTGTTGAAATAAACACACTTTGAAATGAAAAGTAAATTCCAAATTTAGTATGTTAATAAGTTATCTAACTCACCCACAAAACTGTAGCTGGACAGAAAAAATACAAAGACGATGTTTGTTCTATTCGCCATTCTTTTTGTAGCTCTTATTGTGAAGTCTGGGACATGATAAGTGTACAATACAGGAGGGTAAGTTAGTTAAAGACAGAAACAGAGGAACAATCATCTTCTCTAACATCTCCTTCAAAAATGTAGGGGTCATTATACAAAATTCTTGGTTTTTCATAGCCACCCATTAGTGAAGTACCTAAACTTTAAAAATATGTTTATATTCAAGCTTATGACCCAGCATGGACTAACATAACTGGCGTGAGAAGGTACTTTTTCACTGTTCTAGATTTAGCTCAACTGGGTCCCCACGCCAGGTTCACATTTAGTGTGTAAGCACAGGAAGGGTAAATGGCTTGAGCTCTTCAGCACCCTCACCACGTTATCTGTGAAAAACTCTATCTTCCTTGCTCACATTCTAAAATTAAAGATTCTGGTGACTGTTATCTGTCTACATCTTAGTTGAAGTCTTTATAACTGTATTTCCCCTCTCAGTCCATTTCGTCCAGGTTAAAATAAAAGTCTCCATTTACTACCCCTTCCTTCCTACTAGGGTAAAAACAAAAACAGCAAAACAAAATAGAAATCAACAAGTGCTGGCAAGTAATTGGAGAAGTTATAATGCTCATGAATTGTTGGTGGGAATGTAAAATGGTACAGCTACTATATAAAATACTCTGGTAGTCCCCCAAAAAGCTAAATACAGAGTTACCAAGTGATCTGCAATTCCACTTCTAGGTATAAACCTGAGGGAACTGAAAGCAGGGACCTTAGATACACGTATACAATCTTCCTGCAGCATTATTCACACAAGCCAAAATTCGACCACATACTCATCAACAGCTGAATCCTAAACAAAACACATGGTGGAATACTACTCAGCCTTAAAAAGGAAGGAAATCTGACACTCGATAGAGGATGAACTCTGAAAACTTTGTGCACAGTGAAGTAGGTCAGTCATAAATGAACACATTATGTGGTTTCACTTATATGTGGTACCTAGAATAGTCAAATTTATAAGGACAGAAAGTGTAGTGGTGGTTGCCTGGGGCTGTGGAGATGAGAATGATAATTCTTTTTTAATGGGTACTGAGTTTCAGTTTGTGATGATGAAAAAGAACTGGATGTTGTTGAGTTGGTAGTGCTGACTGCATAGCATTGCAAATGCACTGAATGCTGTTGAAGTAAGCACTTAAAAATAGTAAATTTTATGTTATATATATTTTAAAATTAAACCGATCCATTTATTTTTAGAAGTCTTATCTGGCAGCCCTTAACACTTTTGGATATTCTTTTCTGAACCTTCTTGGACTACCCTGCATCTCTGCTCTTCACCACCAACTCCCCCTTTTAGGCACAGTGATCAGAAAATTATCCATAGAAGAAACATGAATCACCTCATGTGAACAACCTTGCCCAAACCCTTGATGAAATAATACCTGATTTAAGAGAAACATTCATAATCCTTTAAATCACGGTGTTCTTTTCCTTGTAAATTTCCTTTGGTGTTAGCAGTTATTTCAACAGTGGAGATAGATGCAGCAATATGAGGGTGAGGTGACCTGGACCTCCTAAGTCTTTACCTTCCGGCCACCTGGAACTTATAGGCTGGGTCCTAATGACCCCTCAGAGTCCTGTGAGAGGGGCAAAATGGAATATCTGTGGAGGTCAGAAGTTGATGATCTTCTCTTACTGGTGAACTCCCTTAGAACTTGGTCCTTTCAGGTCTCTACTTTGGTGTCCCTGCTTCTTTCAAAGAGGCTTACCCTGAACTCGTCAAGGGGAATTCTGGGTAATGGATTCTGGAGTCCACAGATAAAAGGACCTCACCTCTATGTGTCCCCTCCCTTGTCCATCTCCCACAGTTTGGCTTCCAGAGTTCAGCTGCACACTTACATTCTTAAGCTAATGTTCTTGGAGAACAGTACCAAAAAACTCAAGAGTGCCTTACTTAATAATTGTTTGAGTATGACATTTAATCTTCATTGATCCAACTTGAAATGCCAGAAGATCTACGCTATTAACAGCTAAAAATATATGTTCTTTCTCAAGAGGCTTCTGGGACTATGGAAATATGTGGCAACCTATGACTGAATATAAATAAGCACCAAAATGCATCAATAAAATGTCAACATTATTAACAAAGAAAGAGTTGAGCGGGGGAGTAAAGGGGAACTACAGGTTAGCAAAGAAGGGGCCAGAGAAACCTGCTATCTCTCTTCTCATTAGTGAGGGAAGAGAAAAGTTTACTAAAGATAAATGTAAGTAATGGAACAGCTAAGGGAACTGAGTGAGTTGTGAGTGGAAGAAGGGGCAAAGGCAAAAGGCATCAGGTCTACACGAAGAGCAGGTTCAAGTAGAAGGGGACTGATCCACTGGACAAATGAAGACGAGGGAAGAGACGGATGAAACAGCACAAACTGGCTGAATAATCTTGAGATTTCCATACCAACTAGTACAGGCCTTCAAATCTAGAATGAAACTATTATTTATGATAACTGGAACAAAGGTCAGCAAATCCATTAATTGTGATTCTATTTCCATCACTGGCTTGTTTTAGCAATTTAGACACAAGGCTTAACTTTACATAAGGATTAATGTAACAACATAGTTTATGTCAGAATGCATCTCGTAGATTAGCTTTATGTTTTAAGAACTGCTTTCATAACAAATATTCCCAGGAAGTAGTCACTCTAATGCCTTCCTGCTATGTGTCAGAAACAGGGTTTGTAATTTGGAGATGGTCAGGTAGAGCCTCCCTCAGGTGTGCTATGGATGTGTAACAAGCAAGACCGTGGGCAAGAAAAGATTAAACAGGCAACTTTGCATAAATTTACTCATCCAAATGCACACAGATTGAACAGACTGTAACATTCATAAACTTTTATAGTGAAAGCTGTTTTTAATCTCATTAGTAACACAAGCCCAGTATCCAAATCACAAAAGGAAGTTTCTCATGCAAGTAGAGTTTTTTTTAGCAAAGAGGCAGGAATTTTTACAGAGCAGCACTGGGTGGGGGCGGGAGTGCTGAGCTGTGCAAGGCAGTGTGGTAAGTGCCACAAGAAATCTGCTTGCTTTGACTGTGGGAGGCTGTTTCTCAGGCCTGGTGTCCCACAAATAAAGTACCAGCCATTGGGGTTTCCAGCTGCTGTACGCTCACGCCCGTGGCTATACATTGCTTCCTCTGGCTCGTGAGAAGTGCCAGCTCCATCCAGAATCCCATCTCACTTGCTGGAACCCAAGTCACCCCAGTCTACTAGTTATATACTTTCTACTCCCACCAAACTTTTGAGATTCAATAATTCCAAAATTTAATTTGTATATTATTCTTCGCTCAATAGAAAAATTTAATATCACACACATCTCTTGTAAATAACTTCTCATAGTTTTATGTTATTTCAAGACTAGAAAATATAGGCAGTCAATTGTGGGAATGTGCAGAATGTTTAACATTTGATTTGAATTCTAAGATTCCCAGTCAACTCTGCTGCATTCTGTCTTTACTACCTAGTTAACTAGTCGGCAGCAATATGACAAGTTTTTCTGAATAGCACATTCTCTTCTTAGTCTGTTTACTTTCTATATTACACAGTGGCACAAAACGTGTAAACACAGAGGACTAAATGTTTCTCTCCATAAAGGCCCTTCCTGCAGCACCCACCCAGCCTACAGTCAATACAAATGAGAGGGCTACCCTTGGACGTTCAATTTCATGTCTGTGCCACGGAAAAGCTTGTGCTGCTCAAAATGCCAGTGATGCTTCTATTGAGAAACACTGTAAAGCCACAAAGGAAGTGCTTTCTGGAGAGAATGTTACTATTTCTTCACAAGAAAGAATAGCCATCTACTTCCACAGCACGTTATGGAATGCACAGAAAGGGCAGTAAGAGGCTAAAATGTCTTCAGCTATAAATTCTCAACCTCAAGCACTGAAGTTCAGCACTTGAAAAAGATTACGAAGGTGCTGCTTTAAATGCTGAAAATCCTCCAGATGTTAGAAGGGCCCCTAGGAGGAGTACAAAGAGCAGTGCTGGCCGGAATAAGGAAGCTGCGTGATTAGGAGGCATAACACTGTGATGGGGATCCCCTTTGGCTCTGGGGGTTACTTCCAAGGACAAAACTAGTGATTCTGTATGGGATGTTGTGTGTTCCATTCCTAGTGCCTCCCAGGGCAAGTGGGATTGGGTCATATTGATGAAGAACAAATGGATACAGAGAGAATAAACAGGGAAGGATTCTCTCCACTTGGCCTTCTTAATATCTAACCTATTTTTATTTATTTATTCATTCATACAGAATTAGGGTACAGGCCAGAGGGATAGGGCGGTGAGAGGATTCACCAGAGACAGAGTGGGGAGCAGAACAGGTAGATTGATGAAGTACACTGCTGAGGGGAGCAGTGGGCGGGACAGGAGAGGTCTGCCGCGCCATGTGGATCTCCTCCGGGGCCAGGGATCAAACTTGTGCTGCAATGGCTGTGGACAGCTTCATAGTGCTGTGCTCTAACCCCCTGCGCTGCGGGGTGGGCCCTATATCTACTTTATTTTATTAGTCTAAATTTTCCTAATCTGTGAAATGAGGAAGTGATCATTGTACTGACCTATCCTCACTGGGTCGTGGTGATCAGAGTGTTAACAACAGTACTGGTACAGGGAAGTGGCTCCAAAAATCTATTTCTGCTACTACTATTGCTATTCTTCTTCCTACCAAGCAATTCCACTGCTGCCAAAGCCCTGCAGTCTTGTGAGGGGGATACAGAAAACATGAACTGCATTTACCCCCAGAAGATTCTGTGTGGCAAAGTCAG